AATTAAATGAATTTATTTACGAAACATTAGTTTTTTATCTAGGAATTTATTGCCCTGTAACCTTGTCATGAAAAGGGGGACCTAAGTAGCATTGAATTGGGTCAGAAAGTTTCTTTTTCTTTTCTTTTCTAGAATATAACTGAGACGCAAAATCCATGTTCTGGATATCGGCGCTCCCTTGGATCACTTTTGAATATGCCAAAAACTGCTATATTTTCGCATTTTTTAATAGTTTTTCTCTATTTCATCTATGAAGCATCTTGTTTTAAACTAAAAATTAAATAAATAGAAATAAACAAAAAAAAAAAATGATATCGTAACCATGATTAAGAAAGCCTTAAAAAAAATTAACCTTTCTTCTTTTGTTTTCTCGGACTGATTTAATTCCTTGATTTTAGCGTGTGCATGTATTCTGGACTATCGTTTTCTTTTTATATTTAGATATGGCTTGCCATACCATTGTACTAGAATAAGTATAAGAAGTAATAAAATAAGTGTCTTTTTTGTTATTACTGTTACCTTTATTATCTTAAGTGAGAGAGGACACAGGAGATTCATAACAAGCTTCATACCTTATTGCCCGCGCGCGGTACAGACCCCATTTTATCAAATTATTAATATTCGCCAAAAACTGCGTGAATGGCTTCATCTTATGTATCCTACAACTTTTTTATCGAGGAAATTTTCGGTGAACTGGAGATCGGTAAACTTAATATTAATATCATTAATATTAGGGCTAGATTAAACATTCACACAATGTATACATACAAATGATAACTAAAATAGAGATAAAAGAAAAGGAGTTGTGGAAAGTAAAATAAGAAAATTAACATACATCGGTAAATAAAAAAAAAAAAAAGAGAGAAACTAAATGAAATTGAAATATATAAAACACATTCACACCTATATACAATATTTACAAGAAAAATAGTAGAGTTTAAAAAAAAATATGTACATTAGTCTGGCTTGTAGATATACAAATATATACAAAAAATGCTAAGGAAATTATATATATATATATATATATATATATATATATATATATATACATACATATCATGGGTGATAAATATTCAGGACGCAATCATTATAAGGTTTTTATTAGTGCCAACGTTTCAACCCAAACATGTGGGTCATCATCAGGGCGTGGTTCCAACACTAAAAATATTCAAGCACTGAATCTTTAGTGCTCGAACCAATCACCCCCACATGATTGGGTTGAAACGTCGGCTCTAACAAATACCTTATAATGACTGCGTCCTGAATATTTATCACCTATGATATGAAGGACAGTCTATTAACTTCCTTCAATACATATATAGTATCTTTATATATACATATATATGTATATATAAAGATACTAAGGAAAAACACAAATACACACAGGAAATACTGAGATAGAAAAAAGTGAATAAATAAAATGATTTCTATCAATTAAATGCTGGTTTTTGCCACGGACAATTCGATAGAGACATTAACCCCTTATGCCCCTGACCTGCACAGCTTTCATTCCGATAAGGGACTACTGAGGGAAATCGTATCACACTTTTTCTTATCTCGCCAGTAAAGACAACTACCTATAGTACGAAGTTTTCTTGTATAGGTGGAAAAAGTTAGAGGGAGCAAATCAGTTCGCCTCCTTCGATGGGAAAGAGAAAGTAAGAATTAAGAATTAGAAGAAGAAACGGTCGAAGTGGCAGAATCCTGCTAGTGCATGAAATGAAGAAACGCTAACTCGTTAGTTTTTTACCGGTATTTGAGATGGTAGGGGCTTTGTAATTGGAATCTTCTGTTTCATCCTAACAATAATAATAATTTATTCACTAATTTTGTCACTGTCTCAGATTGTCTTTTATTATTATTTATTCTAACAACCGTGATAATATTATTATTTTGTTTTATTTCTATGATCTTTATTCACTCTTATTGCTCCGTTTCATGATGTAGCTATTATATATTAAACTCCATTATATATATTTTTTTATTCGTTTTTTCTGAACTAGAATAAAAACTAAATTAATTTTACTGTCGATAAGGCTTGGCACTATCATCAATAGATGTCCATACTGTTCAAAAACCTTCCCAAAGATACAAAACAACTAATTATGGGGAAATATTTCTTATCACTTATTTTATAATCCTAAATGTAGTTGCTATTTCAAAATCGACTAAATTTATTATTATTATTATTAATTTATTTAGGGAAATCCCTTGTTTCACAGCATTTGCTGGTTACAGCACATTATCCGGACTTAAGTCAAGGGTAGGCTAAACAAATTATTCTGTTGCATTAATAACTTTTCCATTAATTTATTATTATTATTAATAATTTATTATCATCTAAATTTATAATTGTACAAATTATTTAAAATATGTGTATATTTAATGTTTTTCAGGTAAATCTGTTCACTTGGTTACTTTATTTCATTTTTTTGTTTATTTTAGACATAATTTCTTTAAAATTTATTAACTTCTTTTAATTTAGATGATTGTTTATTTTATCATTAAATAATTATACAAATTTAAGTGTTATACAATCATTTAATTATCACAATACTTTAAAACTATAATTACTATTCCATATAGATATTATAAAAAATGTTATTGCATGTGTAAACAAGTACTGTAGCTTTTAGTATTAATTTTTATTTTCCTTATGTCGGTTTTATTTTATTTTTCTATTTTTATACAAAACTAAAAATATCTATAGCATAGATAAAATGAAAGCCAAATATTTATACATACGAGTATAATATGCGAATTCTCATAGTGTATGTAATCTTAGCAAATTAACTCCTCCAGCATTTAGTTTCTATGCATTAAAAAAAAAAATCTGGTGTGTCCACACACGACATTCCTACCGATTTTAGAAAATTTTTTATACATTTAAATATGCCCAGCAAGAAAAAAAAAAAAAAAAAGAAATTGAACTAGATTTATTTTCCTGAAAATTTATCAAAGAAAAGATTTAAGTACGATTTCTTTGATAAACTAAAGCAATGTAAACCGGTTTGTGGAAGATGAGCGTAAAAAAATAAATACACTCTGTTATTGCTAATCAAAATCATTTTTACCATAGCCCAATTTAGTGGGACAGAATGTAACATAGGGAGTGAAACTTTTGTGGTGCCTTTCCCAAATTTTTTACTTTCACTTAATTTAATTTTCTCTCTCTCTTCTACCCATTTCTGGCACCGGGATGATATTAGGTCTGGAATTCGATTGAATTTAAAAATAATTCATATTTTTTAATTCAAAATGATAAATAAAAATATGACTATGGATGGGATGTTTGCCTCGAAAAATTAACAATAACCTAATAAGCAGTTTTAACTAATAAAATATATGATAAAAGAATAGAGGTTATTTTATATGCTAAAGACCTTACATATATATTTTCTTTTTTTTACTTCACAAAAATCCGTTCTCTAGATATTAGTGTTGCTATTATTAAATCTTTATGTGACCGTCGATAACACCTGTTAGTAAGTGTAAGTCACGTATTGAGGTGCTTTCGTTATCAATCGTAATATTTTTTTTTATTATCAATAGCATTTATATTTGAGTTTTTGGTTTATTATTTTCAATAATCAGCAAATCGACCAAGAAAAAAAAGTTATCCTTTCTCAAAATTTGAGGTTTTACGTTTCAAGATACGTACAATCCGAAAATAAATTTTAAAAAATCTTTCTGGACCGAATTCGGTATCGATGTCAAAGAGCACCCGAGGATGATCCACGGATCTCGGCATTACCACCCACCCTATTCTTTCAATATGGCGGTCGAAAAAACTTTGTCGCTGTAAACCGAAGCGTCTGAATTAATTTACCGAATTTAATGATACTTGGCCGAAGTCTTCTTCTCAAAACTCTTTAAATTGAGCTGAAAAGCTCATAATTCCATTTCAGTAAACTTTACAATGGAAAAATAAGATTTTAAGAACTAATCCAAACTCATTTATATCCAGGTTAAAGATAAAGATGTAAATTAAAATATATTTAGGTATATATAGCTCAGGGACTGAATTTATATAGTTTACAACAGTTACGAGGTTTTCATTGTCTACCGTCGATATAATAAATAGGGTATGTGGTATTTTAATAAACTTAACGAGTTGTTGCAGGTTTGCTGTGATGTTTAAGGTTTAACTCTGTTAAAAATAATAATAATGCTTAGAAAACCCGAAGGTTCGATGCCGATACCACCAATCGATGTCAACATTCTTCCATCCACCGGACGCCGTCTAAATCCAACCCGCCATATTAGCCTTAACGCAATCTTCCCACCTTCGCTTTGGTCTATCCCTCAGACGCTGCCAGTCGGCACAGCGCGTATTAATTTTTCAGAAATCCTTTCGTTACTGAATACAGCGATTTTACAATACCTATTTTATTCGTCTCAACTTAATCCTCTCAATTAAATTAACCGAATACAGTCCACGCAATTCAGAGTTGTGTAACCGCCTAAATTTTCCAGTTGACTCATCCTTCTTGGGTCCGAATATTATGCGCAACACTTTATTTTCTAAAACCTTAAGACGTTGCTCATTCCTTAATGTAAGCGGCCATGTTTCACATCCATAAAGAACCGGAGGAAGGTCAATGGTTTTGTAAAATCTAATTTCTGTTTAAAATCCACTTTGAAAACTTTGAAATAGCCCAATATTGTCAGAAAATAATTTGTATTTAAAGTAGGGAATTCTAAAGGAACGTTTTGTGTTGCGTGCACCACATTTTTTATTCTTAGGAGACTAAATCTACCAGAATAAAAGTAAACATTCATTTTTTAATTATTTTCTCATTATATTTTTAATCAGTTTTTTTTTTTGGCAATTGCATTTATATGTGAAAAATATGACAGTTCGGTTTTATATATTCAAACGTATTCAGTTTCTAATTAATTCTGTAATACATTGTATTTTCAGGATTTCGTAAGTAAAGTTCGTTCGACTTTTTTTAATTGAGAAATTTCCAGTAGATACTAATTAAACGTGAACTTACCGACAGGATCTTTCCTAGAAACGACCCTCGCCTCCGAAGAGAGAAGGCACGCCGCAAGCGTCGCAAGAAGAAGTCCAATCATCTTGAGGGAACTGCCGCATCGCGAGTCGCAGCAAGTTTTTATAGTTTATAGGAACAGTTGAGTAAATAGAAGTCTTCTATATTACGGCCTTCGGTTGCAGCGTAATCCGTATCAACAGCGGCAACGAGGCCTTGAATCGAGATGAGCTCATTATCGATTCCGAGCCAATATTATCCTAAAGTGACATCGATTGTTTTCTTCGTAGTGATCACTTATGCCAGAAAAAAATAGGAAACTAGGCCAAAACCTAATATGTGAAAACCTAACCTAAATTCTAAAATTTACCATATTTTCACCATAAAATACGACTTCCAACATACATCGATACCGTCTAGATTTTATCTCTTAATGAAAACTTAAAAGAACAGAAAGTTCTGCATCACTCTTCAAAACAAATCGTTAAACAAGGTTATTTTGTATTTTATAATACAATTTCTCATTGCATCATGTTTACTCTCAATTACCTATATATGAAATATATATAGCAGTATAAGATAATGTAATCTTTAAAAAATGTCGAATCTTTGTTTTTAACGGAAATACACGTTTTGAGGATCTCTAAGTCCAAATAACCAAATCCTACAAAATAGAGTGTGTGCATAGCGCTGACATTCAATTTTGATTGAATAAAAAAAACAATTGACTAAAAAAACAAAACAAACACGATGAGAATAATTCATATTATGTGTACAAAGTCAACATAATTATTGTGAAATAAACAAATATAATATTAGATATTAGGGAGTGAGGTAGCTCAGTAGGTGAGCACTGACTTCCAGAGCTCAAGGTCCTGGGTTCGACTCCGGCTAATGACTAGTAATTTTTCATTAGCCGTGGATCGACCCTGGGGTCGAGAGACCCTCCTGAGGCACACCCAGCCTCTATAAAGTGGGTACTCTTAATTTAAAAAAAATTAAGGAGGAAAACCTGGCGTTTGTGCCTGATATCGGCCCCATCATCTCCCAGCACAACCATTGGTCTTGAAACAGTACTTCCTTACATAGTACTGCACCCAAGACCCTTCATGGGTTTAGTGGTACAGGTTAATATTAGATATTAATATATACATATATATATGTGTGCGTGTGTATAGACAGTTGTAGGTCTAAAAATATATATACATATATATTTTAATGCGCTTATGGGTATACTTGAAAACATTTCAACAAAACTATTGGATATATAACTTGTATACATAAAATATAATTTATTTAGATTAAAACATGAGAGGAAGGGGGGTGTCCTCCATAATATAGGTACATTTCTAGAAGTTTTTCAGCTAAAAATGAATAATGTTAACAATTTTTAGCAGAGCTAAAGCTAAAATCTACAGCTAACAAATCATAAATACCATTATATAACAAAAGTCCTATTTATTATATCACCGGATTGTACGATCCGTTGATTATGTATTGTACGACTTTTAGTCATTAAACTGTTATTTTCCATTGCAAAGTTTACTAAAATGGAATTAATAGATTTGCTGCATTGTCTTTCATAGACAGGTTAAATGTTTTCATATTAAATGCAAGTGGGTACTGTTGGTATATCACAAAGGGAAAATTCATCAAATTATTCACTAATTTAATTTTCTAAAAGGTTACATGATGATTTTTCAGAATAAACTGACAATAGATACCTAATTAATTAAATATAATATCAGATCTAGGGTTGTGAAACTACAGTAAATGTAAGGTATTTAAGGTTATAAACATATACATGAAATATTTTTATGTTTCACTTCTTCTTTCACACAATTACAATGAAATATTAACAATGTCATTACCTTGAATCCGTGGAATTTAAATACTTTTTTCGAACTTTTTTTACCACGTTTTACCGGTTAGCTGCAAGGCTTAAGGTTAGCTCTCTGTTAAAGATGCCTTTCAAACACTTTGCAATAGCCCAACATTATTTTTAACTTAACTTTTACTTTCAATCTAGCAGCCCAGATAAAAAAAAATCATAAAGACGGTATTGTATGAAAAGAGATGCGATTATTGGTTGAGTCGTAAGTAGTACAATATCATCGGGCAAATGTTGCCCATAAAGACTGGTCTTGTTCTGATAAATCTGCTGTGGAAGTATTGAAAAGTTCCAATACACTGCCTGGGTAACTCCCTACCACGTTTAATGGTGGATAAATCGTTGCCTGGTTTTACTTTAAAGAGTATGTCTGCCAAGTAAGAAATTAATATTAATGAGTTAGTCAAAGAAAGCAAAATTTTGAACCTGAAACGCAATCCTGCCATGCCTAACAAATATTAATCAAAATGTTTCAAGCAATGTTTTGATCATATGGTAACAACCCTTAATAACTTTAATAATATTAACTAGCTCTATTCGATTAGAGACTTAATTATTTAAGTAGGCTGGTGAGTGAAAGTTGTGTGATCTCTTTTTTAGAAACATTAAATTTTATTTTGTTTTTAATTATTGATTGCTACTCAATGTAATATAATTAATCCTTTGAGATGTAATATTTTATTTATTTACAAATAAGACTGTTGACTAATCAAAATTCGTTCATTTTCTCTCAACATGAAGAACATTTTTGCAGCTGAGTGAAGCAGCGTGAGGCACAGCTTTCTTGAAATCCTCATATTCGCAACAGTAGACGTATCCTTCGGTAGAGTTCCCTGAGAACTCTCGCCATCCATGTTGAGTGCAGATGTCCTTGCAGATGGATTTTGGAATAGTCTTCCTAACGGGGTCGTTGGGGGAGATGAAGACAATGCAGGATCTATCTACAGGTTTCCTGAGGATCTTCCAGAAGTGCTTGGGAACCGGAAATTTAGAACCCCTGAGCATGATATCCTTCTTGTTTTTCTTACCCTGGAGCTGGAGGACACCTTCGGTTCCAGTGACGACTTCCAGGTCAGTCTTGTACTGTTGAAATTCCATATAATATTATTTTTATTTTTAAATATTAGGATTTAAAGTAAGTGCGTTAGTTTAAAAATTATAAATTATTAGTTTATCTTACTATTGGAAAAAGTAGCGGATTAAGGATTTAATTTTAATTTTTTTAAAACTAATTATACTGGAAAGAAAAAAAAGAAGATTTAAAGGGGAGAATTGGACTTTGGACTCTTGATTACCTTCGAACAGCCTTATATAGGCTCTAAAAATTATAGAATTGGGTTGGGGGCGGAGTGGCCGAACGTGCTTACGCGTGTGCACAGCACCGACGTTGCCCGGCAAACTGGATAAAAATAGTCACGAGTTCGAGTACCGGTGCTGGGGGAGTCTTTTAACTCTGCCATTAATCCCTGCCCTCGCTCCCTGGCCCAGGAAAATCCCGTATAGCCTTAAAGGCTAGGAGGAGGAGGACTCTCCCACCCAAAAAAAAAAATATATATATTCTTCGTCAGGAGTTTGTATAATAAAAAGAATCATTCCAGGAATAGGCATCGTGAACCAGTCACGAAATCGGTGATACTCTATTGGGCGGAGATTTACCAATATCACTAGTAAAACAGAAAGAAAGATTCTGAGAATAATATACAGGCCCCGAAAGGAAGGATACCGATAGGTATCAAAGAGAAGGACTTCCAAGATAGGGATAAACTTGGAAAAATATTAAAGAATATAAAGGTTCTTGTAGCGGATAAGAGAAAGCAACAGAGTAAGGAATAAACAGAGTAGAGAAGGAGGGAGATGGGAGAACAACTGAAAATAATATGGCCAGAAAAGAAAAAGAAAAAGACCTAGATATACGCGTGATCCATCGTTCTGCCTGTATCGCGATAAATAAATATATATATAGGAATGGGTTGTCCAGAAAACAATGGTTTCTTCATATTAAACCTTTATATAGCAAACTGAATAAAGGAGCGGAATTTCTCAGTGAGTTAGGAATGCTAAGCTCAAGTTCCCGGGTTCGATTCCAGCTGATTTCAAGAAATTTTTCATTAGTCGTGGATTGGCCTTGCCAGGGGTACCCAGGATAAGGTTTCATGGCACAAGTTGCGCCATCAACATTTTTGAGTGGGGCGCATTTCGACGGGGCTATGAATTTTTGGAGTAAAAAGTTTCGAAACAGAGCACTAGAAGGAAAAGTTGATACAGGCCACAACAAGTGTAATTGTATAGGATCTAAGAATGGCAGTACTTCAGTGCTTGTTTGGCTGCAAGCTCATTACCTACTACCCCTACACTCCTGAATGGGTTTCTTAACTATAACATCCTCTCGAAAGATGTCTAATCGTAAATACTGAAATTCTTGAAGCCCATAAGTATTTCCCGCATCGACTTCAGATTTCTTAACTTCCTAATTCTCACTCAGCCCGAAAGATTATTTTTCAGTATATATATATATATATATATATATATATATATATATATATATATATATATATATATATATATATATATATATATATATATATATCAATAATTACTTTGAAAGAAAAAGAAAGAAACTAGCTACCTATAACAAATGGTGTTTAAGTGAAGTCTTGAAGTTCTATTAAATGTAATTTACGAACAATAATATTTTGTAGAGATTTTGTTTTTCGTAAGACATGGATATATTTCACCATTTTAGGGAGAGGAGGGCTTCAGCCCGAAAACCTCTCTCCTCCCCTCGTATAGATACGCCTGCGGTGCTTCTTATAATGGATGATGTTTCATGGTCAACATAAAAAGAAGGTTTTCTTAAATCTTGATAGCCACGTTCAAGTTCAATGTAAGACCTTATTCTATCTTAATTAACAGGCATTTATGAAATGTTAGGGTCGTGGTAATTTTATTTGATTTCTACGCAAATATTTCAATGGAAAAATAACATCAGAATAAGCTGGAGCAGTATTTAATCCACAACTAAATCTCACCGAATTATTTTATTTATTTTATTTTTTAAGCTATTTCCCCTTTTTCTCGCCTCTACCCTAAAGGGTCATTGGCGTTTTCTATAATTTATACTCTATTATACTAGTTTACAATTTTTAAAAATTTATACACGAACGAAACTCTTTCTTCATTATCTTGTAGTATTTCGTTTCTACCTTACTGACACTGTCCATCCCGATACCCCTCCTGGCAACTTTCGCTGATGACACTGCTATCCTTTCTTCCAACTCAGATCCTGAAACAGCGTCCGCAAACTTACAAAGGCACCTCTTTCTGATTGAACACTGGTGTAAGAAATGGCGCATTAAGGTAAACGAATCTAAATATAAACACATTACCTTCACCCTTCGGCGTAATACCTGCCCACCAGTTTATTTTAACTCCATCCAGCTTCCTTTCTCAGATACAGTCCGGTATCTTGGCTTTCTCTTAGACAGACGACTAACATGGAATCCACATACTAGACTTAAAAGACAGGAACTTAACAGACGATATGGCCAGCTATATAGACTACTGAATAGAAAATCTAAACTTTCTGGTGAAAACAAATTACTGATCTACAAGACAATACTGAAACCCATCTGGACTTACGGACTAGACCTATGGGGAACAGCCAAATTTTCTAACATCAAACGCATTCAATCCTTTCAGTCTAAAGTCCTCCGTACAATAGTCAATGCTCCCTTCTATGTAACCAATAAAACCCTACACCATGACCTTAATATCCCATTTATTCTTGATCTTATCCCAGCCAAATTTTCCAAATTTCACCAGAACCTTTCTCATCACCCAAATCCCGTTGTACAATCCCTATCAAGCACCACCCATCCCTACAATCCTCTTCGTAGGTTAAAGCGGCAGTGGCCACGAGACCTTTTGTAAATATGGATATTTTGGAGTTCTAGCAATGGCCAGATTCTCCACTCAAGTCATGAGTGTCTGTGGCTGTAGCGCTCTTACTCATCCTCCGCTGGTTTAAAATACCAGTGAAGTGGCTGAGGGAGAAGCGTAGGGATCTCCTAATCCTCCCTTTTCCCTCCACATGTGGAGGGGACAGGATTGGTTCGGAGATCACCTGGCAAATTGTAAATAATGTATATAGGTATGTTTCATATAAGGTGTTTGTTTTACTTTTATTTCTATTTTTATTTACTTATGTGTATATATATTTTTTTTTCTTTACTCTTTTGTTCTTTTTTCTTATTCTTTTGTTATTACTTTATTTATTTATATTTTTGTATATATGGTATGAATGCAATCTCTGAACTCTATTATAAGTGTCTTTAAACTGTGACAAATTGTAATATTTCTGAATAAAGTGTTTTAATAACTAGGGACCTTACTGACAGATACTTCAAAGTCAATCATAACAATGCTTATTCATCTCTTTCTACTCAGTCTGCCGGTGTTCCTCAAGGTAGTATCCTAGGTCCTATCCTTTACAAAATCTATACAGCTGACATCCCAACCCAATCCAACACTGTCATCACCACCTATGCCGATGACACGTGTATCCTATCAGTTAATAACGATCCATCGATTGCATCCCAAACTCTTCAATCACACATCACAAGCCTTGAAAAATGGTGTCAAAACTGGAGGATTAAAATGAATTCCAATATATCCCATCAAATAACCTTCACTCTTCGTCGTAAACCTATGACTTCCTATTCTACAGTATCCTTCAACAATAGCCCTCTTATCCTGTCGAACAAATCCGATACTTAGAATTCCACCTTGACAAACGACTCACTTGGAACCCCCATACCAGACTGAAACGACTAGAAACCGCCCGACGTTTTCGACTACTGCAGCACTTACTAGACAAACGATCTAAGCTTTCAATCAATTATAAACGACTCGTATATATGACAATAATAAGACCTATTTGGACTTACGGAATTGAGCTTTGGGGCTCCACTAAACCATCGAATTCCTCTCGTATCCAATCCTTACAATCCAAAATCCTTCGTAAAATCCTCAACGCTCCTTACTTTGTCACAAATAAAATCATCCATAAAGACCTTAATGTTCCATATGTTTCCGATTTGGCCCAATCCAGATACCTGTCCTTCCATAACAAACTGCAGAACCATCCGAATCCTCTCGTTTCAAACCTTGCTTCCTCCTCGATCCCTGATAACCCTCCGAGACGTCTGAAAAGAAGATGGCCTCGGGATCTTTTAATATTGAACTTTAATTTGAGTTCTACCAATGGGTAGTTTCTCTTCATGTTGTACATGTCATGTTGCCAATTTCGCATTTACTTGTTGTATTTTCTATGTAATACAGTTGTAAATTCCATTAAAATAATAAAAATAAAAAAGTATTTCGTTTAATGTTTTTCCTAGTTGTATTTTTTCTCTGTGCCTTTCGAATTGGGGACATTATACTAGAAGGTGTTTCACAGTTTGCGGTGTATTGTTACATTTCTCGCAAGTAGGAGCTTCTAGTCCTCTTAAAAGATAGCTATGGGTGAACTGGCAGTGCCCAATCCTAAGGCGGCACAGTATAATTTCTTCACGCCTGGACCTTCTGTTGCTAATGAGCCATTTATCGCAAATGGGTTTCACTTCTTTCACCTTACACTCTTTAATCCTCCACTCTTTTTCCCACTCTGCCAGTTGTTTTTTCTTTATTTCGTGTACCCAGTCTTCTAAAGTGATATATTTCACTCTAGTCACTTACTCTTCTTCTCCTCCACTTCTTGCTAAATGGGCTGCATTGTCAGCTTTTTCATTCCCTAAAGTTCCGCAATGAGCTGGAACTTTACATGGAAGATGTAACTTGTAAAAATAAAAAAATATGGAAAGTATTTTAAACTTCTAATTACCAAAATTTATTATATAATTTTACTAAAAAACAAAATAATATGGGCTCCTCATTCTATGATCCTGACATATTGACAAAAGATTTGCAAAGACAACAATTTATTGAGAAGGCAAGGTCCCTACTGAATGGGCCAAAGTGTACCAATGAAGATTTCAAAATACCATTATTTCAACCTGGAGTTTCGAGTACAATATGTGAAAGGTCGTCACCATTTAAGAACAAATATCCTGTGCCCGGAAAGACAGGCCTCTATGAAGAGAGTTATTCTGACCAATTGTTGGAATCCAATTCTTCAGTTCAAAGTGCTAGAGAAGCCGCTTTAGTAGATAAAATAAGAAAACTTGAAGACCGATTGGGTAAAACCTCAGCTCAGATTAGAGAATCACAAGCTTCTAAGCAGTTCTTAAAAGCAAAACTTAAATTAATCGAAGAAAAGGTACAGGAAAAGATTAATAGTGCGCGAGAGCCGGTGGAATCATTAGAAGTTAAACAACTGAATCAGCGAACTGCCTATGCTAAAGAAACACTGGAGAGGTTGATAACTTTGAGGGGGCTTCAGATGCAAGAACGTTGCATGAAAGAGAGCTATTTACAGAATTTTAAATTGTTTATATGAGAGGAATTATGTTCTCAGTTTTTAAGGGTAACTTTTCTAAAAGGTAAAAGTTGTATTACCGTACTGAAACCTATCTGGACCTACGGACTTGAACTGTGAGAAACTGCTAAACATTCGAATATCAAACGCATCCAATCCTTCCAGTCCAAAGTACTCAGAACAATAGTCAATGCCCCATATTATGTCACAAACAAGACCCTACACCATGACCTTAACATTCCATTTGTCCTCGACATCATCCCATCCAGATTCTCAAACTTTCACCAGAACCTTATCCATCATCCAAATCCTCTAGCTCAATCCTTATCCAGCTCCCTTCGTCCCTACAATCCTCCACGAAGGTTAAAACGGCAGTGGCCCAGAGATCTCTTGTAAATATGCTTCTGGAGTCCTGGCAATGGCCAGCATCTTCACTCATGTCCTGAGCGTCTGTGGCTCTAGTGCCCTCTTTCAGTCTCCACTGGCTTCTAATACTAGTGATGCGGCTGGAAAAGTGGCACTGGGATCTCCTGGAGTCTTGCTTTGCCTTCCACATGTGGGGGAAAAAGCCTGGCTCGGAGATTCCTGGGCGAATGTATATATTGTATATAGGTATGATTGTGTTTAGAAGTTTTTATTTTATGTTATTTGTTTACTTTTTTTTTATTTATTTACTTTATTCATCAGTATTATTTATTTACTTTCTATATTTATATTTATTTCTCTATTATGTGTATATATTGTATGAATGAGAACTTTTAGCCCTAATACTTATAGTCCTCCAGCAGTGGCTGATTGCATTATTATTCAATAAATAGATTGAAAAAAAAAAAAGTTGTATTGATCAAAAATTTATTACAAAATACTTTTTTTTTCTTTTGGTATAACAGATCTTATAGATCTTTTACCGCCTTAATGAAAATGCATGATTTTTTAATAATAATGGTTTAGCAATCTATTAGGAGAGAATTGAAAAGTTACTAACACTGTGGCAGAAGTAACAAAGCCTTCTTTAATTAATATTAAAATAATTTAATATTATTTACTTTAATTTTAAAATCATGAACCCGAATTAATTTTTCGGATAACCAAATATTTACAATACTCACCTTCCTAGCAAAGCTTCTTGCGGTTTCTTCCACCTTGAACCAGGTGCCTTCGTTGATGGAATGCCACATCGGAGCGACGTTGATATAGAAGAAGGTGGTGGCTTGGTGGGGGCCTAAGACGAAGTCCAAATATGGTGAAAGTTGTCCCCGATCCAAGAACTTCTTGCTGGCAAAGTCTATGTACTTCTTAGCGTAGTCCTTTCCAACTTTATTCCTGATGGCAGCCAACTGGTTTCTCTAAATTGGAAAAAAAAAACTACGGTGTGCTTTAGACCACACGATAGAAGTGAAAACAGCAACAAGGTGAGATTAATATTATGTTATTCTTTTAGTTTATTATTTCCAATTATGAACCATTGTGATCTACAAAAAAATTCAAAAACTTAAACTCCTCTCAAAATTTGAGAATTCACGTTTCAGGATACGTAGAATTCGAATAAAAAATTGTTTGTCCGTCCGACGTCAGCCGTGAGCCGTCCGCGCATTTCCCCCAAAACTACTTGTCCGATTTTTTTCATATTTGGATTTCAAATCACAGGTCACTCGAGGATGATCCTCCTTCATCGACATTATTATCCGCCTTTTACTTCAAAATGGCGGCTGAAAAACCTGCATTGCTATTGACTGCAGCGCCTAAACGAATATTCGAATGAAACGAAATTCAATGAAACTTCGCTAAAGTCTTCTTCTCGACGCCCTTTAAATTTACCTATATAACATACTTCAACGAAAACAAGCTGGAAAAAAAGTTACCAGGGATGGTAAAATCAAATTTCGAATAACTCAAAAAGTATACATTTTTGTTGATTTTGTGATAAAAAGTATAAAAGATATTTGAATTTCCTTCTTTTTTTTCTAATTTTTTTTGAAAAAAAAAAAAAGATTTAAAATCGGACAATTAGGAACTTTTTTTTCTATGTTCTAGTGCAAAGGTTATATCCTTTGTTTTTGTTTTTGAATTTTGAATGTGTTACTGAAGTAATGCTATTTTTTTTAGCATATTACTAATGATTAAAAAAAAAAGTTTAGTCCAATAATTAACCTTTTAATTATTTGTTTTGTAATTAGGAAGGTAATGTTACTTTAGATGTATAATTGTTTGGAAATAATAAACCATTGTGAAATAATTTGCAGGGCTTTTTGTTCTATATTCACAAAGTAATAACAATAATATATATAATTATAGTTGTGTATAAAATATTTTTACTATTACAAAAAAATATAAACTATTAAATAATATTATTCTAGTAAACTTTGCTTTGATCGTCATTCTATCATAATCTAAAAAATTGATGCGAGCAACTTTTAAATATGTAAAAACATGTTCTTTAATCTTTGGAATATATCATTGTTCATTTCAAAGCGATTCTGAAGGGTCATAATTGTAAAATTTTGAAAATTATTCTCAAAAGTTGGCGTGCAACCTCTGATTTTGATGATTTATTCGTGCAGTAATTTATTTAAAAAGATTCCGCTGAGACTGAGTTCAATGGACATTGACCACTCACCTTGCTATATGCCTCCTTCGGGTTGAACCCTTTAAAAAACTCACCACCGCCCGAAGCATATGCAGGACGTCCAATTTTCCGCGGTTCTTTGCCCAAGGAGGTGCCGCGGAGGAGATGCCTAGAGTAGTAGGGGATGCTTTCATCGATGTTGTAGCAAACCTCGACTACTGGTAAAAAATGTCCAGGGACCTGCAAAGTCAGAAGTGAACAGATGTAAGAGCGTTCGATCAGAGAGCGGGGTGGCCGAGCGGGCTAACGCGCGAGCACAGAACGATCAAAGATTTAATTTTATAAAATAATTACGAGTTAGCGTCCCGGGGCGGGAGGAATTTTAAGTGTGGTATTAATTCGCCGCCTTACCCCCTGACATGGGAAAACCCCCGTATAATTTTAAGGCCAGGACCAAAAAAAAATATTCGATCTCATTAATCATAAAAGCTATATTTCTTTCATTGGTTTCGAGATTGAACGTAGCTGACTCGACGATTTTTCGAACAAAGGGGGAACATAGGATGGAGGGGGGGAGGCAACAGAATGAAAAGACGATCGATATCTTTACCGGCTCAGGTAAAAACTATTGGATCATTTCACATGAAATTTCAATTTTTATGATTTCAAAAATTCAAAATAGGATTCGAGGATTTTTGTTATTAACTACGTTCACCAAGTCCGAGTAACCAAGTCTCACAAATTGGTCTTTGTGTATGTTAACAGTCTAGCTCAAAAACGAAAAGTCGTCGATACTGAAAATACATATTTAAGTTAGGTGTATACCTGGGATGTTAAGCAACTTTTCCCTTAAAATAGGCTAACTGGAAGTGCCACTTTATATCAGCGATTTAACACATTTTTACAATTTTGATTAAACTCAGTGTATCGTGGTATAATCATAATTGTATTATAATAATTATGAAGCGGTTCTTTATTATCATTTACATCTCATTTGCTTAACAGTGCTTAAATGCGCAATGTTTAAAATGTCTTCCTCTAAAATACCTTTAATTTGGTTTATTTTAAATAATTAACTATCTTTTATTGTTGGCAATAATTAAAAAAGATTAAATATAATCATTGAAAGAATTTGATTGTTGAATAAAGGAGAAAATAGGAAAAATGATTGTTTCGGTCGAAAATGAATCTCCGAAAATAATAGTCAACGAATTAAGTGGAATGCAAAAGGATATTTATGAGTTTTTAGCACCTAATTAAATTAATTAATTTAATGAAGGAACGCCCCATTTTTTTAAATTTTCGTAAATAAAAGATTTGTAGGATACGATGAGATGAAGCCATTCACAAAGTTTTAGACAGATATTAATAATTTGATTACTAGGGGTTTGTACCACGGACTAAATTTCTCTAAAGCTATACTGAATATTGGTGATGTGTTCGTAAAAATCTGTAAAATACAATTTATTCCGCCTCGATCCGTGGAATTTTGAAATCAAATGTGATTCAAATGTGATTTGAAAAATTTGTGATTTTTTTTTCTCTACAAGACGATCCTGAAACCTATATGGACATACAGACTTCATTTGTGACGGACAGCAAAATTGTCTAATATCAAACGCATCCAATCCTTTTAATCTAAATTCCTTAGAACAATAGTTGATGCTCCATTCTATTTAACTAAAAAAAAACCTACACCATGACCTTAATATCTCATTTCTCCTAGACCTTATCCCCGAAAAATTCTCCAAATTTTACCAGAACCTTAAATATTATCCAAATTCTCTTGCACAATCTCTATCCACTCATCCTTACAATCCTCCTCGAAGGTTCAGGCGGCAGTGACCTTCTGTGAATAAGCATATATTGGAGTTTTGGCAAAGGAGATATGATCCATTCAAGCCAAGTATGTGTGAGTATAGCGCTTCTCCTCAGCTTCTACTGGTCCTTAATACTAGTAATGCGACTGAGTGCGAGGCGATGGGATTTCCTAGAGTCCTGCCTTTGTTTCCACGAGTGGGGAGAAAGGGTTGGCTCGGAGTTCTTCTGAGTGAATGGATTCTGTAAATATTGTATGCATGTGTTTTAATTGTTATTTTGATTAGTTTAGTTCTTTTGTTTATATACATTTACTTTTATTATTATTAGTTTTTTATAATTTATTGTAAATAGAGTGTGAATGTCCTCTCTGAACACTATTGTAATGTTTTTAATTATGATAGATTGTAATATTTCTGAATAAATAAAAATAAATAAAAATAATTTTTTTTTCAGTTTTATTGTAGTGTAATAATTTTTTTGAAATTGGGATTCGTTACTTCTTGCATGAAATTTGTTCTCATTTGATATCTCATTCATCAAAATCTATCGCTCCAGAGTCAAAAAAAGGATTTATATTATCTTAATACATATCGTGGAGATATTCATTAACGCAGTTTACAATTAATATACATTTTGTGAGTAAATTATTTTGTGAACACTTGGAATACTCACATCGTACCCCAGCTCTACGATGACCCCTTTCCCTCTTCCGCACTTCATTCCGGTCTTTTTGAACTTAGCGTTCACTCTTGCTCTGCAGTCTAGTTGCTGGAATGAGTAATTCACACCTTCGATCTTGAGCATGTTTCCACTCTTACAGGAACCATCAGATTGTATTGTGTCGATGGCTTCGATGTAGTTACCGTTACCCGGGCAAGAGATGGTGATTTTCTGTAAAAAAATTACAAGGAAATAAAATTAATAATAAAACCAGCCCCAAACACACTGATGTACTACAAGGTAGAGTTTTAATTTACTCCTATACTCTATTCTATATAGAAATCGAAAATAAACTTTATTCTTAGAATAACAATAATGTACAGTTACAAAAGAAAAAAATACACATCTGGCCAAAAACTAACTCAATAAAAATTCAAATAATATATACAACAACTTAAATAATAGTATGTAAATTACTAAAAAATAAAATAAAATCTCATCTGTGTTTATAATTTTACTGAAAAAATAACAAAAAGAATAGGAAAAAAAAATTACATGTATAGAAAAAAAAAGCAATAGAAAGATATGTATGTATAAAAACTGAGGAATGTAAGAAATGAAATACGCCTAAAATATAAAAAATCTTGTAGATAGAAAAAAGAAAAATGGATAAAAACAACAAAAAATCTCTTATTCTTTATGCATAACCTCACAGTGCTATGCCAAAAGTGATACTGAATCTTTCCAGTTCAAAAATAATAAACAAAAAATAAAATAAAATAGTGGTGTATGAAGAAAAAAATAAAATAAAAAAATTATCCTTGTTGCATGATGCATAATTAACCAGCGTCTCATTGGGTTGTGAAGAGAAATTGGAATAAAAGGGTTTTCTTATAAAAGGGAATTCCAAAAGGAGGAGGAGCGGACAATAAAGGAATGTTGAAATGAAGCAGATCTATGGAAAGGGGTGTAAAGGTCAGTAGGCCGAGATCTTGTGGAGAGGGATGATTTAAATTGGAGGAGATTGTATGCGTAGGACGGGCGATGGTTGTTGATTATTTGATAAAGGAATGTGCCAAGGAAGTATTGTCTTCTGAAGGAGGGGAAGAGTCCTAACTGGGCATAGTAGTGAGAAACACGGGAATGTCTCGGGGTCCCTTAAATAAATCTTACTAAGCTATTCATAATTCTTTTTAGTCTGTCCCCGAGCTCCACCGAGAGGCCGCCGTACACCACACAGTCAAGGAGGGGAAAGATTTTGCATACAATATGATGATACTAGGAGTGTACGTGTGAGTTTAGGAAGGATATGATGGAAGCGATGGAATAGTTTAAGAGTACAAATTGACTGTCGAGAAATGTGGGCAATATGGTGAATCCAGGAGAGGGTTTGGTCAATGGAAATATATATACATAATAACATACACTGTTAAGTTGCAAATGGCGTAAAAGGACAAAGTGAATTAATAAATAAAAATACATTACCTAAATTATGTAAACATTTTTCACAATGCATTGGTTTTTAAAGGCTAGCCCTCAGGCCTTAGATCCTAAGATTTAGGAATAGTTTTTTAAAGCTTTTGGATTTTTTTATAAATTTTGTTTATATTTTTATATAATTGTGAATGGTGACGAACTGAGATTTGATTTTTAAACTATTTCACAAACCAAAACATTTATATTATTTGATCTAGAATAATATTAAATATTGATTTTTCCAAATATAAATTGTGGTTTCACATAAAATTTCGTTTTGTAAAATGATGGTTCAACCAATATTCCGAGTCAAATTATATTTGGATTAGATGAAACAATTGAGATATATTACAAATAAAAAAATGTTAATAACAGAGCTAGGAAAAAGTATTTTAAATTATTATTTTAAAAATTAAAATTTTAATTACAAAATATTTAAACTTTTGTCACAAAAGGTATTTCAAATACAAAATAAAGAAAGTAATTACAAAAAAGGAAGTACAATTTCAATAATATATTTACTAGTGGACGATTGGTCAATAGAATAGGCCATATACTCCATTTCGTAGTTTGTTTTGGTTCTATAAAATACAATTTTTTATTATAGTATCTTGGAAATAAAATATAAATACTTATTTGTTTATTATAAAAGAAATTAGAGTGACAAAAAATCTATTTTGTATTTTACTTCTTCAAATGCAAAATACAAAATAGATATTTTATATTGTATTTTAAAATATTTCATTTACAGTAATGAACGATTCCCATAAAGCATTTAATTTTCCAAGCTATAGTGGATTGAAGAAAATGTGCATATGAGAAGTTATAGTACCAAAATAACAAACTTAAATTTAAAAATAATAATAGAACTTAACATCATGTCACAGGCCTTTTCGCTCAAAGAACACAGTAAATAACAAAATGAAAAATATACAATGCTATAATATCTGTAAATTTAAACGGCTTCATCTACAACCAGTAATCAACTGAACTTTATACCAACATTATTCTTTAAAAAAAAAGAAAAGAAAAACATCTCCAAATTATTAATCATTCATGTATTATTATTTTAATTGTTATTCTTTATATTATATTTATAATATTACCTCTCCTTTCTTTAGTTTGATAACTGCACGCTGGTTTTTGACCTTGGGTATGGTGAGAGTCAAAGAACCATGAATGTTGTTTTGAAGGAAAAGAGGTTCATATTTTCCCGGCATATCGTTTAGCACATCAAAAACACAACTGTTTGCTATGAAAAGGATAACTCAAATCAAACATTTTCTATATATCATGCTCGCATCTTACAATTATAATGATAAAATATTAATAATTTGATATGCCCTGATTAGTAATGCCCAAATGCAAGACGATGCAAGTTTGTTAAACATTCAAAGAAAAAAAATGTTAAATTGAATATTTAATGTATCAAGATCCTAAACTGAAATAAATAGATGTAACCAATTGTTGTAATGTAATATCAGTGATACTGTAATTTTCTAGGTTTTTCCCCATTACCCAGTCAAGTCAGTTCCCCTATACCTGCCCATATCCCTGGTTTTCCAGTTCTAAGTGAGCCTCCTAGCTGAACACACCTGTAAGTCTCTAATTTTATTCTTCCATTTTATTTACTTATTTATTTAATTTTTGGTTTTCTTTTCTTTCTCTACATTTCTTTACGTCTATTATTTCATATTACACTGGCAGGCAAAAAATTCCACCCACTTGATTTTTTCATGTTTTCATCTAAAAATATTTCTGCCACTTGTAAAGAAAGTTGTATTTGTATATAATACATGGTATTTGTAGATAATACTTACTATTTATGGAATTTTATAATCTTTTTTACCTTTAATAATCAAAATGTGATTGGGTAAGAAAGATTAGAGAAAAAAAATTGAAAAACGAACCATTATTATTCTAAAAGAAATTAATTACATCATCGTTTAGTAGCACGTGTTTTCTCCTCTTGCCTTCACTACTTCACATGAGATTCCAAAATCTCATCTACATACCGAATGGCCGTCAAAGACCCTCCACGAACAACAACCAATTCTGTGCGGCACTCCATTGAAATCTCTGCCCACAACATTAAGGAACAGCGTTGAAAAGGTTGGCTCTGGGAAAAATTACAGGCTGCATATCTTTCGTTTCTTCTTCTCCACACCCTTTCACTCCCTTCTGGAGATCGAATTTTTAAACTTAATATTGAAAAAATTAAAAGCCGGAGACTTAGAAATGTGCTGCAAGAAACGGCACTCAACTAATGATAATGAATAAACATTTTGATTCCATAGAAAGTAAACATTGGAATCTAGAATCATTTCGTTGAATTAAGGATTAAGGGTTATTGTCCTCTATATTAACATTCCTGAATGAAAACAAACAAAAAGATTACCTATTTATTCATTAAAAACAATAGACCAAACCAAAGTAGAAATATTTTTAGATGAAAACATGAAAAAATCAAGTGGGTGGAATTTTTTGCCTGTCAGTGTATATCCTTTTTCCTTTCCTTTCAATCTCTCCTGTAGATCTGTAGAAGTATATTCACATTTGCATTTATTATATATTTCACTACAACAATTGGTAACATCGATTTACTTCAGTTTAGGATCTTGTAACTTAGCTTACTTTGTTCATATTTTAATGTACTTATGTTTACAATTTCAATAAGCTTATTCACTCACATTGTTTATAAATTTTGTCTAAATATTATGTAACTGCCACAATTCTCTATTTTTTGTATCTAGTCCGTTCTAGCCCTGAAGAAGACCTGCAAAGCCGGGTCGAAACGTCGGCTTTTAATAAAATAGGTTTACCACTATTTAGCCTATTTATGACCGCCACCCCGGACCATCTCCTTCCTTCAAAAAAATATCAAGCTTTAACCGAATTAAGAAGTAAAATATTAGTATAAAAAAATGTGGCGCGCATCACACAATTTTCGCTTACCGTTCTAAGTTCCGAAGTTTCGGAAGCGCATTTTTAATGCAGCTTAACCTTAAACAACATATTTTTTAATTTCTGTCTTATTCATCAATACAAAAACTCATTAAGGCCATCAAAATAACATGAACCATATTTATTATATCGATTGTAGGCGATAAAATCCTCATAATTGCATCAGTCTATTTGAATCACTTAACTTGTGTCTGTCAGCTCCTCCTAGGTTAAGAGAGATTTGAAAGAACGTACATTTATTATTTTTTTTTTTTTTAATTTTATTATGATATTTACAACTGTATTAGTATGAATACATCAAGTAAATGTGTACAGAGAAATATTATCACATGAAACACGCTTGTTGAGAAACTACCCACTGGTAGCACTCTAATAATTTGTCTGCATGAGAAGATCACGTGGCCATCTTCTTTTCAGACGCCTCGAAGGGTTATCAGGAATCGAAGAGGAAGCAAGATTAGAAACAAGAGGATTCGGATGGTTATGAAGTTTATTATGGAAGGATAGGTATCTGGATTTGGCCAAATCGGAAACATATGGAACATTGAGGTCTTTATGGATTATTTTATTAGTGACAAAGCAAGGAGCATTGAGGATTTTACGAAGGATTTTGGATTGTAAGGATTGGATGCGAGAGGAATTCGATGTTTAGTGGAGCCCCATAGCTCAACTCCGTAAGTTCAAATAGGTCTTATTATAGTCAAGTATATGAGTCTTTTGTAATTAATGGGTAGTTTAGAGCGTTTGTCTAGTAAGTGTTGGAGTAGTCGGAAACGTCGAGCGGTTTCTTGTCGTTTCAGTATGGTATGAGGATTCCAAGTTAGACGTTTGTCCAAGTGAAGTCCAAGGTATCGGATTTGTTCAACAGGGATAAGTTGGGTATTATTAAAGGTTACTGTGGGACATGAGATCATAGGTTTACGTCGAAGGGTAAAGGTGATTTGATGGGATTTATTAGAATTTATTTTAATCCTCCAGTTTTGACACCATTCTTCAAGGCTTGTGATGTGTGATTGAAGAGTTTGGGATGCAATGGTTGGGTCATTATTAACGGATAGGACATATGTATCATCGGCATACGTGGTAATAACAGTGTTAGGATGGGTTGGGATGTCAGCTGTATAAACTGTGTAAGGATAGGACCAAGGATACTACCTTGAGGAACTCCGGCAGATTGAGAAAAGAGGGATGAATCGGTATTATTGTGATTTACTTTGAAGTGCCTATCAGTAAGATAGGAACTGATGATAAGAAAATATGCAGGGGGAAGGAATTTACGGAGTTTGTAAAGCAATCAAACGCCTGTTCAACGTCGAGAAAAACTCCAGTGTAATACATTCCGCGCTCCAATGCAGAGGAGACGACGTCTACCACACGAAGACATTGCTGGATAGTGGAATGGAATGTACGGAATCCAAATTGGTGATCAGGGATTATGTGGTTAGAATCTAGGATGGGATACAGGCGTTTTTAGATGAGCTTCTCCAGGATTTTGCCCATGATGGGTAAAAGAGAGATAGGACCGTAAGAGGATGGGTATTCTGGTGGCTTTTTGGGTTTATGTATCATTTTGACTACAGATAGTTTCCAAGGGTCAGGAAAATATGTGGAACGGAGTACGGCACATTTAATTATAAATTAGAAATGTCATACTGTACAGTAAAAATTTTAGAAATTAACTCTTTATCACTTTTTACATGTTTTTAAATTTTTATTTTTGGAAAATTACCAAAATACAACAGTTACTTTATTTTAAAGCAGCTGTAATTAAAAAGTCGTAACATTGATTGTAAAGCGGACCCTACACGGTCATTCGGAATTGCACTAATGACGTTCCGAATAATCGTGTAAGGTAGTGAATGAAGTACTGATGGTGGTGCGCTGCGGATTTCCCAACATCCGGAAATCAAAGGTTCATTCACGAGAAGTGGAGGGGGGGTCTGAGGTAAAAGTAGTGGGGAGACTAACCATACTGCTGGATAGGTTAGGTTACCTAGGCCTCAAACCATTATAAATTTCTGATTTTCATTATATGTAAATAGTTAAATCATTTTTCATATCCCTTGTTTATAATTTTAAACCATCTTCAACTATTTCTTTTAAATAGTCAAGTGGGCAACAAATTAAAAAAAAAATGAGCAAACTTCACAATTTACTTTAAGAAAAAAAAAAACTTTAACGTTGTGTATATTTATCAGTTCTTTTCCCATTTTCCTCAACAAATTTATTTTCGCAATACCTTTCCTTAATTTTTGTAAGTAGTAGACTTATATTTTACTAACGAATTTTCTATGAGACTACTACTAGATAGGTTAGTTTACCTAGGTCTCGTTATTAAGTAAATAGTTGTTTATATCCCTAGTCTATATTATTATTAACCATTTTCAACTATTTTTTCTTTAAATAGTAAAGTAGGCAATAAATTGAAGAGAAAAAAAAGTGGAAACTTCACAATTTACTTATAGAAAAAAAATCTTTAACTGTTGTGTTTATTTGCCATCAATTTTTCCATTTTTCTTAACAAATTGATTATTTTCGCAATACTTTTCCAAGATTTTTGTATGTAGTTGACTTATATTTTTCTAACTTTGGTCTAAACGATTTTCAGGCACTAGGAAGTAATTATTATATCTCCGTTTTTCTCTTGATGCCCAATATTATAAATGACAATGTCCAAATAAGCATATCTATGCTGTTTCTTTGTTTACAACTGCACTAAATTGGTCAGCAACGATCTAACCTAAATCAGCAACGATAAGTAATGATCAGTAATGATTGAACGTGTAAGGGTCTTCATGATCAAAGCGATCGCGGGCAATCTTAGCACTTCTTGTGACGTTCATTCATGAATTACCGTGTAGGGTAATATATAACAATATATATAACAATGATCAACCATCAAATATTTAAAAATTTAAGTTAATGAAGTTGTTTAATGTTTAACAAATTGTTTAAGACAGTATGCTGCACATTAGACTGAAAATGTGACAGAATATATCTAAAAAGTATAAGCATAAATATATTATGTGGATATATAAAAAGTATAAGCATAAAAATATTATGTGGATAAGATGAAAATGGGTGTTCAATCGATGCTTATTTAATGGTGGGTAAGGAATGGTTAATTTAAAAAAAGGCGGGTAATATATAACCTAAACGATCTAATTTCTATATTTACTGAAAACAGAGGTAAGGTGGAGGGGACAAGACAACCCCTCCGCAATAGTGGCGCTTTCTGGTGCTAGATTTCGTAAACGTTATCAGAACACGGGACATAATACCAGTTCAACCAAAATGGCGAGTGGAGGACCGTTCGTAAATAATTACCTATCTTTTTTATTAAATCAAATTTCAATTCTGTAACATCAAGCCTCAATTAAAGGTTATAAACATATGTTTTACCCATCCATGAAATATTTTTATATTTCACTTCTTCTTTCACACAAATATAATGATATAGTTTTTAAACAGTTTATTTATTTATTTTAATTTTTTTTTTAACTCAAATTATCTGGGAGAGGGGAGGCGATATTCTCGACCCCTCAACATTTTTATGCAGGGGCGTTCACCTCTCCCTTCCCCCGGAGTCTGCGCCCATGCTTGGAATAAGAGAAGATGAACTGTGAATATGACGAAAGTCCTTAGAATAAAAAAAAACTAAGGTGTGAGCTTTAAACCACACGATATCAGTGAAAACATCAACAAGGCGAGATTAATAATATGAAATATAAATCTTCACATATATTATTACAGTAAGGCTCGAAATCGGTATTGTACCAAATATAAGCTCTTGCCATGCTTAAATACCATGAATGGGGTAACGTTGGATTCAGAATTTCACGGGGGTTTAGCGCATCGTATTCTCCACTTTTGTTTTTCTATCTAAAATAAATAAAGTCGATACAAACATTTTGCTAGGCTTGAATACTGAAACGGTGGAAGATCTGTAGATCGATACGGGACAAATTGGATCTTGAAGATTTTGACGCGTACAGCAAGACCCGGAACTATCGTATCCTGCGTTTTTAAGCCCAAAAACGTACTATTTTCGAGATAACGTAAGGCATGGAGTTCGCATCCACACAACCTCACATTAATTGTAGTACTGTCATTGAATGCATGTCTCATTTCGTCGACTTGAGGTCTCTATCATCGAGAGAGTAGGAGTTTATATTATTTATCGATGGAGTTTTTGATTGGCATGCCATATCATCGTTAATTTTTCATCAAATCTCAAGATTGAGCCACCAATTTCGAAGGCTTCCTTCTCCTTCAGGCGGGAAAATAGTCCAATCAATCCGAAAATTCAGGCAAACACGTTATAAAAGAAAACAAACTTTATTTGTGAATAACTAAAAAATTACCCTTTGGTTATGCCCATAATTATATGAAAGATTACTTAATTCCCTACAAAAGGAAAAAAAAATCATCGAAATCGGACAATTTTTAGCAAAGATACAGCTTACTGAAATTTGTAAATATGTTGGTTCCAAACAAAAATGAAGATTTAAATTAATTTTCGTTTTCTTTGTCGATTATATTTATCGATAAAGTAACATTTGATTTCTTTATCTTTCGATACGTTGTATTATTTTATTTTCTTATTAATTTGGCATTTGATAACAATATGCTGTACGAATTTTTCGCACGGGCCTACTAGTTATAAATAATAGCTCATTTCAAAGAAGATGGAATGCTCCACGGTAACAGTATACAGATCAGATTTTTAGTATCTGAAAAAAATTAATCTATATGTTCAACTAACCTAATGTTTTCATTTGGTTTTCGAAAATATTTTATTCCTTTTCGCTCCCTAACACGGCGATCAAGATAAAATTTTGAATTTCAGTGATGATGAAATGCTGAATGAAATCCTGAACAATGAAATCCTTAACAATAAAAAAAAAAATACAAAACGAGCCTTTTGAGAAGTTTTCACTTTAAAAAAGAGAAAGCAAGGAAATGGATAAAACGTCGGAAAAAGGAACTTAGTGAAAAAAATTGATATTTAAAGAAAACATGTACCTTTGTTACTTGAGTTCGAATCCAGTCCATTATCGTTTAAGTACGGATCAATACATTCATCCGGCAACATTCCATCTATATTGGATGTACAGCATATGAGAACGACAATGAAGTGTAAGACATTCATATCTACCCTATGTTGTCACGTGATATAAAACATATATATACATATATATTTAGATGCTGTTTATATTTTTCCTCCGTTATAACACTTCCTACAACAAATAACTGCTTTTGCATATCTGCAACTGTAAACCTGCATATCTTCCTGTTATAGATTCGAGTCATTAGTCCTTTTTAATGGTAGTTCCAAACAAAAATCTAATAGATGACAATCGTTATAGGCTATTAAATAATCATAAATATTAAATTGACATTGAAAAAGATATATATTCTTTATGTCTTTTAGATACAAATGATAGAAGATGAGAGACTATTTTAATTTATACATTGCAGTAGTAGACAAATCCCTTTCAGGAATAAACTTTTATTTGATTAATACTTTTTATTAAACAGAATACTTCCTTACGAAGAACTATATCCAAGACCCTTTATGGGTTATAATGGTACAGTTTTTTTTTTTCATTGAATTGAATTTTATTTTTATTAAATAAATAATTTTTTTTTTATTCATTTATAGAGTAGTATAACATTCTTTCACCTGACCAATGGTTATAGTGAGATAAGACAACATTCACACTATAAATGGTTTCTCAGTTTTTAATGGCAAAACTCTGGAAGGTGATTCTAGACAAAATTTTCTACAAAAAAGTACGTATATTTGTGCCTATTCCCAACGGACCAATTGGGTTTCGATTTTTATTGAATAAGAAGGAATTGATCAAAAAGTGTTCAAGATAATTTAATTCTAAGTACATCATCGTAGAGTAATAAGACTTACTAAGGTCAATGATAAAAGTGACTTTCAGGAGATCTAATGTGGCTTCTGTACTGCTGCAGTTTCAGCACCCATACCCGAACAGCATATTTCGGTAATCCTGACTCGTGAAATAATTCGGCATAATGCTAGGCTTTGTGTTATTAAACCTCCTGAATGTCCCTGTTACCAATGAACTTAGTAAATTTAATCGTTGTTTTCTCAAAACAAATTTGTCTACTTTACGATAGTATTTCTAGTATTTATTTATCTTGAGCAATTTCTTCTTATTAAATAACAACCATGACTACCTAAAGAAAAACACAAAATCGGTCTAACTCCTTTTCTATTTGGAATCGGTGTACATATATCCAATGCACTTTTTTGTTGCAAATTTTGTCTAGAATCATCCACCTGAGCTTGGCTATTAAGTACTGAGACATCCTGTATATTAGTGTTGCCCAAATGTGAGACCGAGAAAAGTCTTCGTCTTGCAAACTCAGTCTTAGTCATGGTCTCGGTCTAGCGCAAAAGTCTCGCAACGGCCTTGCAGTTACTTATTAGCTTATTACTGTAGAGGTATTACTATAATTTTATAGATAGGAAAAACCTAACTAAGCCCGAATGAAAAATTAGAGGAGTTAAATGCAAAAGCATATTGGTTATACCAATTATTAACATATAATATAGTAACCCAGATTGTCAAGTATTAGTAACTATTTTTAATTTTTATTTCAAAAATCGATTTTTTTTTACCAGTCCTGCTCTTGCTCTTACAACAGAAACGATAAAATGAACAGAAGTAGAATAGTAACTAAATAATAATCAAAAGGCAAATAATCAAAAAGAATTAAATAAATAGTAAAAACAGAAAGATAAAATAATTTAAATATTACTATTTTTTTTTATTTATAAAGAATTTAACATTATATCACATACACAGTGGTTATAGTGAAGTAAGACTACATTTACACTATATATACAGAAAATATGGAATAAATCGGAGAAAAATGAAAACTAAATAATAACCAAATACAATAAATAAAAATAAAATAAGTAAATTGAAAAATGAAAACAGACATACCTATATACACTATTTACAATCAGGCGAGGGAACTTTAAGAAATCCAACTATGAGAGAAAATCCCTGACCCCAGACCCCAGAAAACCCTTGCGCTATTCTCTCAACCTATTGGTTGATCTTTAGACAGATAAGAAAATTAAAAACACAGACATACCTATATACACTGATTAAATAGAATATAATGAAATTAAAATTTATTGAATAATTTAACTTAAAGTTAATACTGAGACAAAAAGTAGGAGCCAATGACACATTTATTATAAACCATTCATGTTTACCGATAATTTTTAACCGGCTACATTTTGCACAAATGCTGGATGAATCAAAAAATATATTGATGCTTAGATTTTTAAAAATTAATTATAAGTTCTTACATTGCTATTACTGCAAATAAATAAGGAACATCGATTTTTTTATGCCGATTTATAGGTAACATCGTTGTTTGACTTCCGATGGTTGACAAAAACATCGATATATCGATATTTTTGTCATCGCTAACCATGACCCGGGGAACTTATAATGTGGAGGTCTCAATGTAGCCCGCAGGTCAAAACGTTGGAGACCCTGCTGTATATTATAATAAATATTTAGTGATGAATATTTTTAATATGAAATACCTGAGTTCTACAGAGAAAAAGATGTTTATAGAGTTCTGTAATGTCTTAATTTTATTAATAATTTACATATGAAATAAATAATTAATAAAATTAGAAAATAATCGAGTAATTGTTTTGTTGACGTAGTATTGATTACTTGATGATTGCCTATTGTCTCATGTTACCAAATTTTTCCATTAACGATTTCTAACATCGTTTGTTTGATAATACTACACGTGTCAGCCTAATGATTGTTTTTCATTAATGGAAAACAGAAGAGAATATTTAAAATTTTGATGGCACAACTCAGGGGTGACCAGAAAGGCCAAGCGGCTCCATAAAAAATTTTGAGGTCATGTTTTGATGGTTTTTGGAATTTTGAGAGAGTGAATTTCTAAAGGGTTATGAATTTTTGGACTAAATGAAAAGGAGAAAACATGGACCAGACTGCAGTAAGTGTAATTGTATATGATCTACGATTTTTCTATGTTTATTTATTTATACATGTTTTGGGCTCTTCAACCACCTGGATCATTTTCGCCCTATATTACAATTTGATGAATTACTACACACATAACTAAACTATAGCTAAGAAATACAATTTAAAGTTTGAAAAGTTTAGAATAATTACAATGATTATGATAGTTCAATTGAACTGTAATTATAAAAATTGAAAGTTAAAGATTTAATAGAAGATAAGATAACAGTGACAATAAAAATAAAAATTAATGATGTTCAGAATAAAAGCTAAAAAATACATTTTTAAATAGTAAAAATTAATATTAATAGAGGCGAAGTTAAAGAATACAGTGTAAACATTAAAAAGTACAAGAACTATTAAAATTAAACATTAAAGATTAGAAAAAGATAAGTTAACAGTTAACAAGAACATTTAAATAAGAGGTTAATGATTTCAGGAATATAATCTAAAAATACAGTTTAAAAAATAAAATTAATATTAAAAGAAGAAAAGTTAGGAAGTACAATTTAAATATTAAAAATTACAAGAAGAAAAACTGAAAAACCATTATAGTTAAAATTATGATTAAAAGAAAAAAAAAAATAACAGGTGTATTTACAATTTGAAGAGGAACCTATAAACTTAAAAAAAACATAACATTTACAATTACAAGGTGTGATTAAATTTTGTGAAATATTTTGATTTCCTTAAGGAGCAATATTAAGTTTTTAATAGCATTGGTGTCCTTTTGGAGTGATTCTTCAAGGCTATTTCTGAGAAGATGTTGATCCCTTGGAATACATAACATCCGGTTAGGATATGGTTCACTGTAAGATGTACCCCGAAGGAAAGACATCCAGTTGGAGAGTCTTTCCTCATTAAGTACTCGTGAGTAAGCCTAGCATGCCCCATCCTTAGCCGGGTTAGTATCATTTCTTCCCTTCTGGTCAGCAGGATATTTTCTATGTATAAAGGGTGGGATAGATCTTGGGGGGATGGGTACCCTTGACGCAACTTGGGTATTATGTGAAGCGTGTCATATCAGGAAGACCTGTACGGTATCAAAATCATTCATAAATGGTACATTTTTGGTCTTTGATTGATGTTCGCGTTGAAATCTTAAAAGCATAAGTTATGGCGTCTCGATACGTCGACATTAAAAACCAATACAGTTGTGAAACCTCTTAATTTTTTCAATGACTTTTATTGTAGTCATAGTAAGGTTCTATGTTTTGAAAATGGGATTAATTACTTTTCATAAAATTCTTTTTCGTTTAATACCTCATTTATTAAAATCCATCGTTGCTGAGAACCGGATAAGTAATCTGTAAGACCGTATTATATTTATTGTAGATTACAGATTATTTATAGAAACGGTGAGAAGGTGACATATCTATTTATTTACAATTTTCTTGGAACTGAATGATTAGGGCAAGTGGTTAAACATGCGGAATATAAATTTAGGTAGTAAAGTAAATGTAAAAGGCATAGCCACATAGTTTCTATTTTGATGGAGGGAGCGATGGACCAAAAAAAAAAAAAAATATGATGGCGGTAGTTCATATCATGTGTTCAATATAATTATTTTGAAACGAACAAATATAATATTGGATATATAAAAATAACTTTATTTATATGTTTAGACAGTTGTAGGATTTTTTATTTATCTGCTTATGGGTATACTTCAAAATATATGATCAAAACTACAGGGTATAGAATAGAAAATTAAACTTTATTCTGGGACTAAGTCCCTTTAGAATAACAATGATGAGTTAATACAAAGTAAAGTACAAATCTGGCCAAAAACTAACTTCTAAAAGTTTTAATATTATATACATTATTTAAAAAGTATGTAACCAGTAAAAAATAAAATATATATACAAATGAACATAAAATCTTCTCAAAATTACTTAATTGTGATGAAAAAAAAAAGAGAAATTACATATTTATATATACATAACTACACAATTTATAAACAATAGGCTATCTAATAGAAAACTAACTTAATACAAAATGTAATAATACCTACAGTGATTTATATAATAATATGCAGACACTAAGATAAAATAAAATCTTAGGATTACTTGTGGTGTAATGGAAAAAAAATAAATAAAAGGAACTATTTATACGTACATTCTCTGTTTATACTGGCACATAGAAAGACAAAAATATAAAATATAAACATATATACCCGAAAGAAAAAGCACAACCTGAGGAGGAG